AATAGGGAGGGAGGGAGGGTGAGACGAAAGCCTTGTTGCCGTTGCGCGCGATATTACTGACTTGCCCGAAATTACAGGATATATTAGAGGTGCGTATTGCCAGAGTTGATTGTTTAAATTCGCAATTGTTCGCCTTGATTGTTCGCCTTGGGAGCATGTATTTTTCTGCTCTCTTCACTGTCTGCGCGCTCTCACTCGCTGCTCTCATCTCTTCTCCTCTCTCTCTCTTCTCTCTCTCTCTCTATTTTTTCTGTCTTCTCTCTCTCTCTCTCTGCGCCTCTTTCCGCTCTGCTCTCCCTGCTCGCCCATCTCTCCCCTCTCTCTCTCTCTCTTTCTGTCTCTTCTCTCTCTCTCTCATCTCTCTCTCCTTCCCTCTCTCTCTCCTCTCCCGCCCTCTCTCCCCATTATCTCTCTCTCTTCTCCTCTTCTCGTTTCTAATTTCTCTTCTCTCCGTCCTGTCTTTCGCCCACTCTCTCCCCTCTCTCTATCCCTCCACCCTCTCCCCCCTCTCTCCCCCCATCTCTCTCTCTCCGCCACCACCTCCCATACACCGCACGGCGAGGTCTTTTATTTGATGAGGGAAATCAATTTGTGATCTTCCCCTCCCGCCCCTCCCCCTCCCTCCCTCCCCTTTCTCCCGCCCCTCCCCCTCCCTCCCTTTCTCCTGCCCTTTCCTCTCCTTCCCTTTCTCCCTCCCCACCCCCTCCCTCCCTTTCACGCGAAATTACATGCAGTCACGCAATATCACCGGCTATTGACGACTGATAGAGGAGAGAAGATGTACGATGAACTTTTCATAACATGAGCATTCAATACAGCAGATATACGGTGGACGTGTCATAGCATTAGCATGCAATACAGCAAATATGGAGTCACATAGCATTAGCATGCAATACAGTAAATATGGAGTCACATAGCATTAGCATGCAATACAGCAAATATGGAGTCACATAGCATTAGCATGCAATACAGCAAATATGGTGTCACATAGCATTAGCATGCAATACAGCAAATATGGAGTCACATAACATTAGCATGCAATACAGCAAATATGGAGTCACATAGCATTAGCATGCAATATAGCAAATATGGAGTCACATAGCATTAGCATGCAATACAGCAAATATGGAGTCACATAGCATTAGCATGCAATACAGCAAATATGGAGTCACATAGCATTAGCATGAAATGTAAGAATGCGACGATTGAGGAGCAGGAGGAGGAGGAGGGGGAGAAGAAGAAGGAGAAGGTTGGGGAGTAGGAGAAGGAGGGGAGAAGAGAAAGGAGATGAAGAGTGAAGGATGGGGAGGAGATGAGAAGAAGAGGAGAGCAGGAGAAGATGAGGAGGAGAAGAAGAAGGAGGTGGAACAGGAGGGGAGGAGGAGAAGGAGAGTGCCGAGGGGATGCTGTAGACTGCTAGAGGGATAGCGCAGCAGTAAGATAATAATGCTGTGTCTTTCATATCGGTTCGCGTTCGATTCACATCGTATGCAATTATTCCGATGAGTCTAACTCTATTTCTGTCTCAATCGAATGCTATCTCTCGTTTCCCTGTCCCGCTCTCTTTCTCTCTCTCTCTCTCTCTCTCTCTCTCTCTCTCTCTCTCTCTCTC